ATTGTGTGTGTGTATGTGTGTATTTGTGTATAATGTGTGTGTATATTTGTGGTATAATTGTGTGTGTATATTTTGTGTGTGTATAATTGTGTGTCTGTATTTGTGTGTATAATTGTGTGTGTGTGTATATTTTGTGTATAATTTGTGTTATATTTTGTGTATATTTTGTGTGTATATTTGTGTGTGTGTGTGTATAATTGTGTGTGTGCAGTGTGCATATTTGTGGAGGAGAGCTTCGACTTCCAGATCGTGTCCCTCACGGGTCAAACGTGGCATTTTGAGGCGACGTCGTACGAGGAGCGAGACGCCTGGGTCCAAGTGATCGAGAGTCAAATCCTCCACAGTCTGCAGAGCTGCGAGTCCAGCAAGAACAAGGTACTACCAAATACTACAAATAATACTACTACATATACTACATATGCTACTACTACTTATACTACTACTACGACTACTTCTTCTTCTTCATGTAACCGTGTGTGTGTGTTTCAGTCTCGTTTGCCGAGTCAGACTGAGGCCATGGCTCTACAGGCCATCAGGAACCAGAGAGGAAACAGCCTGTGTGTCGACTGTGGAGCCAGAGGTGAGACTGTACACACACAGACCTGTACACACACACACACACACACACACACCTGTACACACACACACACCTGTACACACACACACACTGTACACACACACACACACACTGTACACACACACACACACACTGTACACACACAACACACCACTGTACACACACACACCCTGTACACACACACACACCTGTACACACACACACACACTGTACACACACACACCTGTACACACACAACTGTACACACACACACACACACTGTACACAGTACACGAGTAACACAGCCTGTGTGTCGACTGTGGAGCCAGAGGTGAGACTGTACACACACAGACCTACACACACACACACCTGTACACACACACACACCTGTACACACACACACACACTGTACACACACCTGTACACACACACACCACACTGTACAGACACACACACACCTGTACACACACACACACACCTGTACACACACCTGTACACACACACCACACACACTGTACACACACACACACACCTACACACACACTGTACACACAACACACACAGTACACCACACACACACCTGTACACACACACACACACACACACACACACCTGTACACACACACCTGTACACACACACACACACACACACCTGTACACACACACACACACACACCTGTACACACACACACACACACACTGTACACACACACACCTGTACACACACAAACCTGTACACAGAGGAAACAGCCTGTGTGTCGACTGTGGAGCCAGAGGTGAGACTGTACACACACAGACCTGTACACACACACACACCTGTACACACACACACACCTGTACACACACACACACACACTGTACACACACACACACACACCACACACACACACACACTGTACACACACACACACACCTGTACACACACACACCACACACACACTGTACACACACAACCCTGTACACACACACACACCTGTACACACACACCTGTACACACACACACACCTGTACACACACACACACACACACACACCTGTACACACACACACACACCTGTACACACACACACACACACACACACACACACACACCTGTACACACACCTGTACACACATACACACTATACACACACACACACACTGTACACACACACACACACACACACACTGTACACACACACTATACACACACACCTATACACACACACACACACACACACACACACACCTGTACACACACCACACACACACCTATACACACACACACACACATACACACACACACACTATACACACACACACACACACTGTACACACACACTGTACACACACACACACACTGTACACACACTGTACACACACCTGTACACACACACACACCTGTACACACACACACTGTACACACACACTGTACACACACACACACACACTGTACACACACCACACACTGTACACACACACCTGTACACACAACACACACACACTGTACACACACACTGTAACACACACCTGTACACACAGAGAAACAGCCTGTGTGTCGACTGTGGAGCCAGAGGTGAGACTGTACACACACAGACCTACACACACAACCTGTACACACACACACACTGTACACACACACACACCTGTACACACACACCTGTACACATACACCTATACACACACACACACACACACACCACACACTGTACACACACCACCTGTACACACATACACACACTATACACACACACCTGTACACACACACCTGTACACACACACTTATACACACACCTATACACACACACACACACACACACACACACTGTACACACACACTATACACACATACACACACCTATACACACACACACACCTGTACACACACACTTATACACACACACACACACACACACCTGTCACACACATGTACACACACACACTATATACACACACCTATACACACACACACACACCTATACACACACCTGTACACTCACCTGTGGTCACCTGTCCTCACCTGTGTCACCTGTCACCTGTCCTCACCTGTGGTCACCTGTGGTCACCTGTCACCTGTGGTCACCTGTCCTCACCTGTGGTCACCTGTCCTCACCTGTCCTCACCTGTCCTCACCTGTGGTCACCTGTCCTGTGGTGGTGTGTTCCAGACCCGGACTGGGCGAGTCTGAACCTGGGGGCCCTCATCTGTATCGAGTGTTCTGGGATCCACAGGAACCTGGGCACTCACCTGTCGAGGGTTCGGTCGCTGCACCTGGACGACTGGCCCCTGGAGCTCATCAAAGTCCTGAGCAGCATCGGCAACGACCTGTGCAACGCCGTGTGGGAGGGCAGCACCCAAGGGCGACAGAAGCCCACGCCCGACGCCTCCAGGTAACACACGCACACCTGGACCGGGGCGGGACCGGGGCGGGACCGCGGACGGGACGGGACGCGGACGGGACGCGGACGGGGCCCGCGGACGGGCGGACCGGGCGGACGGGACCGCGGACGGACGCGGACGGACGGGGCCGCGGGGGCGGGGCCGCGGACGGACCGCGGACGGGGCGCGGACGGGACCGCGGACGGGACCGCGGACGGGGCCGCGGACGGGACCGGCGGACGGGGCCGCGGACGGGACCGCGGACGGGACCGCGGACGGGACCGCGGACGGGACCGGGGCGGGACCGGGCGGGACCGGGACTAAAATGGGACTGGACCAGGATTGGACCAGGACAGGACCGGGACTAAAATGAGACTCAACTGGGACTAAAATGGGATTGAATCAAGGCTGAACTGGGACAGGACTGGGACTGGACTGGGACTAAAAAGGGACTGAACCAAGTCTGGACTGGGACTGGACCTGGACTGGACTGGGACTGAATCGGGTCTTAAACTAGACTAAAACGGCTAAAACAAGAAATAAACCAGGATCTGATGCAACAGTGTGAGAGACCAGGACCAGGACTGAACCTGCTCCTGTCTGCTCCTGTCTGCCTCCTGCCTGCTCCTGTCTGCTCCTGCTCTGCTGCCTGCCTGCCTGCTCCTGCCTGCTCCTGCTGCTCCTGCTCTGCTCCTGTCTGCTCCTGTCTGCTCCTGCCTGCTCCTGTCTGCTCCTGCCTGCTCCTGCCTGCCTGCCTGCCTGCTCCTGCCTGCTCCTGCCTGCTCCTGCTGCTCCTGCCTCTGCTCCTGTCTGCTCCTGTCTGCTCCTGCCTCCTGTCTGCTCCTGTCTGCTCCTGTCTGCTCCTGCCTGCTCCTGTCTGCTCCTGTCTGCTCCTGTCTGCTCTGTCTGCTCCTGCTGCCTGTCTGCTCCTGTCTGCTCCTGCCTGCTCCTGTCTGTCCTGCTCTCCTGTCTGCTCCTGTCTGCTGCCTGTCTGCTCCTGTCTGCTCCTGTCTGCTCCGTCTGCTCCTGTCTGCTCCTGCTGCTGTCTGCTCCTGTCTGCTCCTGTCTGCTCCTGTCTGCTCCTGTCTTGCTCCTGTCTCTCTGCTCTGTCTGCTCATGTCTGCTCCTGTCTGCTCCTGTCTGCTCCTGTCTGCTCCTGTCTGCTCCTGTCTGCTCCTGCCTGCTCCTGTCTGCTCCTGCCTGCTCCTGTCTGCTCCTGTCTGCTCCTGTCTGGTGTTTATGGGTTGGATCATAAATTCATTAGTGTTTCCCTGGAGCTCGTTAGCGCTCGGCTCAACATCGACTCAACACAACCTCAACACATTTAACTGCACCGTCTCAACAAATCAAACGCACAAACACACACACACACAGAGACACACACACACACACACACACACAGAGACACACACACACACACACACACACACACACACACACACACACACACACACACAGATGTCGTTGTGTGAGTGGATGTGAGTTTGATGAGTGGTTTGGACAGGTGTGTGTGTGTGTGTGTGTGTGTCTGTGTGTGTGTGAGGAGGTGGAGGGGGGTGGGGGGGTGTGGGGGGTGTGGGGGGTGGGGGGGGGGGCGTGGGTCGTTAAGAGCCGATAATTGAGATGATATTGACGAGTTTGTGGAGCGAAGAGAAGAAACAGAGACAAACTGTAACACTGAAAAACGACTGATAAATACTGTCGATAAAAGAGGGATGGAGAGAGAGAGAGGGAGAGAGAGAGAGAGAGAGAGAGAGAGAGAGAGAGAGAGAGAGAGAGAGAGAGAGAGAGAGAGAGAGAGAGAGAGAGAGAGAGAGAGAGAGGGAGAGAGAGAGAGAGAGAGAGAGAGAGAGAGAGAGAGAGAGAGAGAGAGAGAGAGAGAGAGAGAGAGAGAGAGAGAGAGAGAGAGAGAGAGAGAGAGAGGAGAGAGAGAGAGGAGAGAAAAAGAGGAGAGATGATGAGAAGATTGTGAGAGATGGGAAAAGGAGAGAGAGGAAAGGCCAATAGAGAGAAGATGAAGAGGAACCTGAACCAGGACTGAACCAGGACTAAACCAGGACTAAACCAGGACTGAACCAGGACTGAACCAGGACTGAACCAGGGTCTAAATCTGATTAAAGAGCAGAGTTCTCAAGTCGCCCTAAACCAGTTCAGATCCCAGTGATCCAAGCCCTGGTCCTCAGTATAGACCTGGTTTAGTCCTGGTTCAGACCCAATTTAGACCTGGTTTCACCTCCGTTTAGACAGTGTTTCAGCCCCAGTTTCAGCCTGGGTTCAGACCCGTTTTAGACCCGGTTCAGCTCATGTCATGTTTCAGTCGTTCGTGTGTTTCAGTCGTGTGTTTCAGTCGTGTCGTGTGTTTCAGTCGTGTGTTTCAGTTGCGGTCTCTGCGCTCTCACCTCTTGACGTTTCATAATTAGTCGTGTGTTTCAGTCGTGTGTGTTGTGTTCGTCGTGTTCGTCGTTCGTGTGTTTCAGTCGTGTGGTTTCAGTCGTGTGTTTCAGTCGTGCGCTCTCACCTCTTGACGTTTCATAATTAGTCGTGTGTTTCAGTTGTGTCATGTGTTTTCGTTCGTGTGTTTTAGTCGTGTGTCGTGTTTCGTGTCGTGTGTCAGTCGTGTGTTTCAGTCGTGTGTTCAGTCGTGTCGTGTGTTTCAGTCGTGTCGTGTGTTTCAGTCGTGTGTTTCAGTCGTGTGTTTCAGTCGTGTCGTGTGTTTCAGTCGTGTCGTGTGTTTCAGTCGTGTGTGTGTGTCAGTCGTGTCGTGTGTTTCAGTCGTGTGTGTTTCAGTCGTGTGTTTCGTCGTGTTTTCAGTCGTGTGTTTCAGTCGTGTGTTTTCAGTCGTGTGTTTCAGTCGTGTGTTTCAGTCGTGTGTTTCAGTCGTGTGTTTCAGTCGTGTGTTTCAGTCGTGTTTTCAGTCGTGTGTTTCGTGTGTTTCAGTCGTTCGTGTGTTTCAGTCGTGTGTTTCAGTCGTGTCATGTGTTTCGTTCGTGTGTTTCAGTCGTTCGTGTGTTTCAGTCGTTCGTGTGTTTCAGTCGTGTGTTTCAGTTGCGGTCTCTGCACTCTCACCTCTTGACGTTTCATAATTAGTCGTGTGTTTCAGTCGTGTCGTGTGTTTCAGTCGTGTGTTTCAGTCGTGTCGTGTGTTTCAGTCGTGTGTTTCAGTCGTGTCATGTGTTTCAGTCGTGTGTTTCAGTCGTGTCATGTTTTTCGTGTCGTGTGTTTCAGTCGTGTGTTTTCAGTCGTGTCGTGTTCAGTCGTTCGTTGTTTTTTCAGTCGTGTGTTTCAGTCGTGTGTTTCAGTTTCAGTCGTGTGTTTCAGTCGTGTGTTTCAGTCGTGTGTGTTTCAGTCGTGTCGTGTGTTTCAGTCGTGTGTTTTCAGTCGTGTCGTGTGTTTTCAGTCGTGTGTTTCAGTCGTGTCGTGTGTTTCAGTCGTGTGTTTCAGTCGTGTCAGTGTTTCGTTCGTGTGTTTCAGTCGTGTGTTTCAGTCGTTCGTGTGTTTCAGTCGTGTGTTTCAGTCGCGGTCTCTGCGCTCTCACCTCTTGACGTTTCATAATTAGTCGTGTGTTTCAGTCGTGTCGTGTGTTTCAGTCGTGTGTTTCAGTCGTGTCGTGTGTTTCAGTCGTGTGTTTCAGTCGTGTCAGTGTGTTTCAGTCGTGTCGTGTGTTTCAGTCGTGTGTTTCAGTCGTGTGTTTCAGTCGTGTGTTTCAGTCGTGTGTTTCAGTCGTGTGTTTCAGTCGTGTGTTTCAGTCGTGTCGTGTGTTTCAGTCGTGTCGTGTGTTTCAGTCGTGTGTTTCAGTCGTTCGTTTCAGTTTCAGTCGTGTGTTTCAGTCGTGTGTTCAGTCGTGTCGTGTGTTTCAGTCGTGTGTTTCAGTCGTGTCAGTGTTCAGTCGTGTTTCAGTCGTGTCGTGTTTTCAGTCGTGTGTTTTCAGTGTTCGTGTGTTTCAGTCGTTCGTGTCAGTCGTTCGTGTCGTTTCAGTCGTGTGTTTCAGTCGTTCGTGTGTTTCAGTCGTGTGTTTCAGTCGTGTGTTTCAGTCGTGTGTGTTTTTCAGTCGTGTGTTTTCAGTGTGTTTCAGTCGTGTGTTTCAGTCGTGTCGTGTGTTTCAGTCGTGTGTTTCAGTCGTGTCGTGTGTTTCAGTCGTGTGTTTCAGTGTGTCATGTGTTTCGTTCGTCGTGTTTCAGTCGTTCGTGTGTTTCAGTCGTTCGTGTTTCAGTCGTGTGTTTCAGTCGTGTTCACCTCTTGTTTTTTAGTCGTGTGTTTCAGTCGTGTCGTCAGTCGTGTGTTTCAGTCGTGTCGTGTGTTTCAGTCGTGTGTCGTTTCAGTCGTGTCGTTGTTTCAGTCGTGTGTTTCAGTCGTGTTCAGTCGTGTGTTTCAGTCGTGTGTGTTTCAGTCGTGTTCGTGTTCGTCAGTCGTGTCGTTGTTCAGTCGTGTGTTTCAGTCGTGTGTTTCAGTCGTGTGTTTCAGTCGTTCGTGTGTTTCAGTCGTGTGTTTCAGTCGTGTCGTGTGTTTCAGTCGTGTGTTTCAGTCGTGTGTTTCAGTCGTGTCGTGTGTTTCAGTCGTGTGTTTCAGTCGTGTGTTTCAGTCGTTCGTGTGTTTCAGTCGTGTGTTTCAGTCGTTGTCAGTTCAGTCGTGTGTTTCAGTCGTGTGTTTCAGTCGTGTGTTTCAGTCGTGTCGTCGTGTGTTTCAGTCGTGTGTTTCAGTCGTGTCAGTGTTTCAGTCGTTGTCGTGTCGTGTGTTTCAGTCGTGTGTTTCGTGTGTTTCAGTCGTGTGTTTCAGTCGTGCGTTTCAGTCGTGCGTTTCAGTCGTTCAGTTTCGTGTTTTCAGTCGTGTGTTTCAGTCGTTCGTGTCAGTGTGTTTTCAGTCGTCGTGTCAGTCGTGTGTTTCAGTCGTGTCGTGTGTTTCAGTCGTTCGTGTGTTTCAGTCGTGTGTTTCAGTCGTTCGTGTGTTTCAGTCGTGTGTTTCAGTCGTTCGTGTGTTTCAGTCGTGTGTTTCAGTCGTTCGTGTGTTTCAGTCG